TAGCTGCACACTGTTTAAAATAGCAATTTTTTCCCTCAGGGAAATCATCCATCTGGATTAGACCATTAAGCTGGATTAGACCATGGGGAGCATCTTTTGTTTTTGGGGGAGAGGGAGCACTAGGAAGTGATTCCTGGTAAATTCCTGCATTTTAGGAGGAATTTCTTCCTGGAAAGGGCGTCAGGCACTGGAGGGGGCTGGGGTGCCCATCCCTGGAGGTGCCCAAGGACAGCTGGAGGTGGCACTCAGAGCTCTGGGCTGGGAATCGGGCACAGCTGGGACTCTGCGGTCTTGGAGGGCTTTCCCAGCCTCAGTAACTCCGGGATTTTGGGATTCTCCACCTGGAGGGACGAGGCAGGTGGTTGGGTACTGATCCCTGGGATCCTCCTGTCCGTGCTCCCACCTCCAGAGCTGGGGAGCTGTTCCTGCCTGTCCCCCTCCTGCTTTGTAGGGAGCTGGATTGGATGGATTCACCCTTCCAGAGGGCTGGATTGGATGGATTCATCCTTCCAGAGGACAGAATTGGATGGGATTCATCCTTCCAGAGGACAGAATTGGATGGATTCACCCTTCCAGAGGGCTGGATTGGATGGATTCACCCTTCCAGAGGACAGAATTGGATGGATTCATCCTTCCAGAGGGCTGGATTAGATGGATTCATCCTTCCAGAGGGCAGGATTGATTGGATTCATCCTTCCAGGGGGCAGGAAGAACGTGGAGAACGTGCTGGGCACCGATAATTTATCACCAGCTCCAGATTGCTCCGATGCAATTTTCCCATTCCTGCGGGATGTGCCCGGCTCGTTCCCATTTTAATGCGCTTTTTCCTGTTCTGCTGGGACTCCTGGGAAGTTAATTAGCTGCACATCCTCATTGTCGGGGCAGGTGGAGGGCTCTCAGCCCAGGGCTTGTGGATTTTCTGCTTTGTTAAGTCCTGGAGTGGTGCTGCAGGAGCTTTTCCCTCCTGGAGGGGGAGGATGGAGCTCCCAGCCTGGCTCCTGCATTCCTGCTCTGCTCGGATTTCCTCTGCTCAGGGCAGAATAAACAGCAGCCCTCGTGTTTGTTTGGTTTTGTGGAGCCCTGGCCCTTCTCCACAGGCTCGGGGAGGAAGGAGGGATCCGGCTCTGAGGATCAAGGAAGAGAAACTCGGTTTTTTTGGGAATGTGGCAACGCCTTCCATTGGGAGCCGTCATTCCCTTCCATCTCCGAGCAAACCAGAGTTAGCTGGGATTTTATTAATTTATCAATTAACCCCAGCCCAGGGATCCACGTGGGATTGATCCCTGTCTCCCGTCCCAGGTGGGAGTTCAGCCATGAAAATCCCTGCTGCTGAGCACCAACCCCACCCATGGCATCCTCTGAAAGGCTCAGAAACCCCAAAGGTTTCTTTCCAATCTCTTTCTCCGTGGGATCCATGGAAAACCTGGCTGCTTCCCACTCCTGCCCTGCCCCCATGCAGCACTTTGGTGCTTGAAATCTGCTGGGATAGGTTGGAATTATTTGTCAAAAAATAAAAGAAAAAACCCACAGAAATCCTAATTATCCTAATTTCTACCAAAGCATTTCATTTTATTAATGGAGGTAAAGGCTTATTTACTGCCACAGTGCAATTTGTCAGCTGCTCTTAATTAGAAATCTCTCTCATTAATGCACCAAGCATTCCATAAAAACATAATTTGGGAAGGCCCAAAGCTGGAGCTGCAGAGCTCCTTGGTCCTGAGGAGGGGGTTAAATACCCTCCCACCCTGCTCAGGTTTAGGGGATCTGGGGGAAACAAAAATCCCTCTGGGAAAAAAAGCAGGAGAAAAGCTGGATTCATCCTTCATCCCACGAGCTCCTGCTCTGGACTGAGCTCCCTCCATCACTCCCTTCCCCATCCTGAACCTCTTTCCCCCCCGGAGCAGGAATTGCTGGGAAGGCTCCTGATATTCCATGGGCTTTTCCCTGCTCCTGGCTCAGCCTGTGCTGCCTGCAGGTCGGTTTGTGTTTGGGGCTGGCTCAGAAGTGTAAAAGAGGAGAAGTTTCCCACGAGGAAGAGCACAGGAGGATCTCCTCCCTCCCCTCCTCTGCCTCCTGCCCCCGTCCCTGTTTATCCGGGTGCTCCGGGTGCTCCCCCAGATGTTCTCTGATCTCGGAACGTGCCTTTGAATTTGCTCAAAGCACAACCCCAAATTAATTCCTCCACGGTGAAAAGCAAACCTGCCATTAAAATGTCAGGGAAAAAGCAGCAGGAGAGGTTTGGCTGGGGGAGGGCAGGGAGAGGGGAGCTGGGAAACCATCCCCATGGCTCTGGAGCTGCAGGATAAACTCCGTGTGCTCCCAGGGAGGGCATTCCCCAGGGAATCAGCATTCCCAAGGGAGGATTCAGCATTCCCAGGGGATGCTGAGCAGCTGCTCTTGGCTCCTGGCTGCTGCTCGGGGCTGTAAACCAGCTTGGCTTTTAATCCAGTGGGATTTTGATTTATTTTGTTTTCCCTCTTGTGCCTTTTAACGGCTTGAGGAGCTGCTGGAGAGGAAAACGCTGCTGGGAAGTTTGGAGGGGGGGAAAAAAGGAATTTCCTCCCCGCTGAGGCTGTGGATGAGGCTCCTCTGGGTGGGAGCCCAGGGGTGTCTGTCTGTCCTTTGTCCCCCAGGGGACACGAGGCTGGGCTGGCCTGGCTGTGTCCTCTGGGCTCTCAGGGTGGGAAAAGCCCTGAGCTGGGCTTTGCTGTCCCCCCAGGCTGCTCTGGTTGTCACCAGGGTGGCACTGCTGGCACCTGGGTCTGCTGGCTCCCCCTGGATGAGTCTCCTCTTGGACCTGGGGTGGCTCCCAAAGGAAAGGATCTCATCCCTGGAAGTGTCCAGGGCCAGCTGGGACAGGAGCTGCTCCTCTGGAAGGTGCCATGAGCTTTAAGGTCCTTCCACCCCGAAGCATTCCATGATTCCGTGGGTTTGGCTTCTCCTTTCTGCCGATGGGGAATTTCCTCGTCCCCTCTGTAACGAGGGACGGCATTAATTGCGCTCGGGGAGGAGAAGGAAGGGCAGATCCTGTGGATTTGTTGGGAAAAGCCGGTGTCTCCAGGGATTTTGGTGCTCTTTGGTTCATTTTGGGCTGTGCAGGACGTGGAGAGGGGCAAAATCCCAGAAAATGCATCCTTGGGCTGGGATGTGGGAGAAGGGGCTGGAGCTGCTCGCCCAGGGATCGCTGAGGATCCAGAGGAAGCCGTGTGTTAAAATAATGGAATTACAGGCGCTGCTGGCACGGTGTTGGCTCTTCATTTGAGGGCTGATGGATGCGGGGCTGAGCCCTGCTGCATCCTGCCAGAGCTCCCAAAGCTCGCCCTTCCCCAGCAATTCCCTCGGCAAAATCCTTCCCGAGGGAATTCCGGGCAGGAAGGGGCTGGTGATTAAAGGTTTGCTTTTCCTCTCACCTTCTCTTTTCACCCTGTGGAAAATCCACGTGGGAAGGGGGCAGGGAGTGGGAGAAGGGGTGGAAGTGCTCCCACTCAGGGTTTAATAAATGTGTGCAGAACGGCTGCTGTCGATCCCATCCGATTGCAAACAATTAAAATCTCAAATTAAAACCCCGGCGTTAACGCTGTGGGGCTGGCACAAAGCTCAGTGCCACGTCCTGAGGAGAACACTGAGGGGAGAATCAACACCCCTCCAGGGCTGGAGCAGCCAAATCTCCTCCCAGCAAACAACTGGGAGCGGATCTCCATCCAAACTGGTTTTACCGAGCTCAAATTCCCCTCTCGGAGCAGTGAACCCGCTGAAAAAGGAATTTGCTGGCTGTGGTTTTTTCCAGGATTCCTGGTGGGAAGGAGGTTGGTGACAGGAAACTCCTGATGCTGCAGGGATGGGGTTTGTTTGCTGAAGAAATTGGGGTTTTTTTTTTGGTTTATTTTGGAAAAAAGCAGGGAAAACATTCCTGTGCTTTTGTTTTTGTCGTGGCAGAGGTTATGTGCAGGATATTTTTTCCCCCTCATTTGCTTTTCCACGCAGGGTCAGGCCAACCCCACAACTCACGAGCAGAGGAGTGCAGTGGGAGCTCCCACATCCCAGAATAGTTTTCCTCCAAGTTCTTCCTGCCCAAATCTCTCCCTGCCTCTCGCTTATTTTTATTTTTTATTTTTTTTTTTGCAATAATCAACCCCCGTGGTTATTTCGGCTGACGCTAATTACTGCCGTGAACTAATTAATGCCACTTTCCTCTCCTCGATGTTTTTTAACCCACTGACACATTCCAATTAAGGAACTCCTGCAGGCTCCGGGCTGGGATGACTCAGAGCGGTTTTGGGATGGCTCCTGTGCTCTCCTCAAGGTCACCAATGTCCCAAATTGTCCCTGCTGCCAGGGAGGGCACCTGGCCAGGAATTGTCCCCACCTCGGAGCAGCTTTGTGCTGTTTTGGGATGCTGCTGCTTTTCCAGAGGGGAAAATCCGTGTGGATTGAGGATGGGAAGAGGCTTGGGGTGGAGGGACAGGACACAGGGAATGGCTCCCAGTGCCAGAGGGCAGGGCTGGATGGGATCTTGGGGAGAAATCCTTCCCTGGGAGGGTGGGGAAGGCCTGGGATGGGATTCCCAGAGCAGCTGGGGCTGTTCCTGGATCCCTGGCAGTGCCCCAGGCCAGGCTGGACGGGGCTGGGAGCTCCTGGGACAGTGGGAGCTGTCCCTGCCATGGCAGGGCTGGGATGGGATGGCCTTCAAGGTCCTTCCCACCCAAACCACTCCAGGATTCTGTGACAGGATTCCATGGCTCTGTCCTGTTCAGGGACACCACCCTGCAGCAGGATGAGCCCCTGAGCTGCCATTCCCACTCCCTCCATTCCTCATCCAAGCAAAATTCCCCGTTTCCTCTCCGGTGTCTCAGCATCCAGGTTCTGCTGGGAAGCTCCTCCGGCCCTGGCTGCTGTCCCAGCTGCTGCAGGTGATCCCAGCAGCTCCCACATCCCACAGGGATTTAATCCCCAGCTCCTCTGCCTCGAGTCGCTGGGTTAGTGGAGGTGAGAGCTCCTGGCTGAACTGCAGATATGTGATTAGTATTAATAGCCCTGCTCAGACTCATTATGCAAATGAGGCGAGAGGAGCCAATTGAGTTATTCATCTTTAACCTTTATTTTGGGTTGGTGTGACCCCCCCAGGCAGGCTCCTGTTACTGCTCTGCCTCGGGGGTGCTGGGTGCTTCTGCTGCCCTCGCCCCAACAGCTCCCCCCTGCTCCTGGGGGGATTCCAGGTGATCCCACCTGCACAGCTCTCCTGGGAATGATCCTGGGGGCATTCCAGGTGATCCCACCTGCACAGCTCTCCTGGGGGGATTCCAGGTGATCCCACCTGCACAGCTCTCCTGGGGATGATTCCAGGTGATCCCACCTGCACAGCTCTCCTGGGGATGATTCCAGGTGATCCCACCTGCACAGCTCTCCTGGGGATGATTCCAGGTGATCCCACCTGCACAGCTCTCCTGGGGATGATCCTGGGGGGATTCCAGGTGATCCCACCTGCACAGCTCTCCTGGGGATGATCCTGGGGATGATTCCAGGTGATCCCACCTGCACAGCTCTCCTGGGAATGATTTCAGGTGATCCCACCTGCTCTCCTGCTCCTGGGGATGATCCCACCTGCTCTCCTGCTCCTGGGGGTGATTCCCAGCCCCGCAGGGAGGAGGGGGCTCAGGGTGACACATTTGTGACACCAGGTCACAAATCACTGCCGTGGGACGTGTTCCCTTCTGCCAGCTCCGGTGCCTCTAATCCCGTGGTTCCTCCAGGTGGGGTTGAGGAACCTGAGGACACCCACAAACACCGACCCTGGATTCCTTTTTATTATTATTTATTATTCCTTAGGAACTGTAGTGGCAGGAAATAGGGAACAGCTTCCTGCTGCCAGAGGGCAGGATTGGATGGGATGTTGGGAAGGAATTCTTCCCTGGTGTGGAATTCCCAGAGAAGCTGTGGCTGCCCCATGTGTCCCCAGTCAGGTGGGACAGGGCTTGGAGCACCTGGGACAGTGAAGGGGGTGGCCCTGGCTGGACTCTCAGGTCCCTTCCAGGCCCGAATGGCCCCTCTTGGTGCAGCGGTGAGGAGCTGCTGTGACACCTCCTGATGGATCCCGATGGATCCCAAACCCCGGAGCACGGGGCCTGGAGGAGGCTGAGGGCAGCTCTGGGATGTCCTGACGTGTCTGTGTTGCCTTGCAGGGGTTCTCTGGCCCTTCCCACGCTGCCCTGGCGCTGAGCTGTGAGCAGCGAGCCCTGAAGGAGAAGCAGGAATGTCGGGATGTCGGGAGCGAGCTGTCCATCAGGATAGGCAGAGCTGGGCTGCAGCCAGGCAAGCACCCTGTCCCCTTCCATCCACACCATCCTGTCCCTGTCCCCTTCCATCCACACCATCCTGTCCCTGTCCCTGTCCCTGTCCCTGTCCCATTCCAGCCACACTCTGTCCCTGTCCCTTGGCACCAGGGCCGGGGTTCAAACCCCAGGGCTTTACCTGTGCCCAGGGCTCCTTCCCCTTCCCCTTCCCCTTCCCCTTCCCCTTCCCCTTC